TAAATACGGATGGGTCGGTTGGCAATAATATGGCGGGTGCGGGGGGTATAATCAGGGATTATCTTGGTGATACTGTGGCTGCTTTTGCTTCTCCTTTGAATGTGGGGGATGTTATCTTGGCTGAACTTAATGCTCTCCTTCTGGGTCTAGAAATGTGTTTAAAAATGGGCTTGAATTGGGTCTGGATTGAAGTGGATTCCTTAAATCTGGTTCAAATTTTGAATCATGATTTCTATGGTAATGCTCAGTATTTTTATACTATTAGGAAAGTTAAAAACTTACTGCCTTTGATGAACTGTTATATAACTCATATTTTACGGGAAGGTAATGTCTGTGCTGATTGGTTAGCGAATAAGGGTTCGTCCCTTCGTGGTTATGAAGAGTTGGATATTCATAATTTAGATCAATCCTTGGTTGGTATGCTGTTACTGGACAAGGTGGCTATGCCACGTTTTAGGCATGGGTGAGTTTTTTGGCTTCTGGGTTGTTGGGGTGCTGTTCTGGGGTTTTTTTATTTTTCTTTCGCTGCTCGCTTGGTTTTTCTGGGTGCTTTGTGCTTTCAGCTGGGGGGTGTGGTGGCTTTTGGACTTGGTGCGGTTGGTTTTCTGTCTGGAGCCTGTCTGGGTGTTTTTTCTTTTTTACTGGGGGTTTTGGTTCGATTGCATGGGTTGTGTTATGGGTTTTATGGGTATTACTGGATGTAATTCTGGTGCTGGGGGGTATGAGGATGTTTGGCTGATTTTGGAGGGTATTTCTGTTGGTAAGGGAAGGGCGGCCTACAGATACTATTGGCATGGTTGTTGGCATAACATGCTGGTTGTTGTGTGGTGCGGGTCTTCTCTATTTTGGCGGTGGCTTGTTATGGTGTTACGTACTATTCTTGAACTGATTTTTTTTTAGGTTTCTTTGTAGGTACTATTACAAGCGAAGCAGAGTTTTGAGAAAGGTATGTTATTTTATTCTATGTTTGTTCATTTTGCTATATGGTAGATTTTTTTTGCAGGAGAGCGGAGCTGAAAGCTATAAAGATTAATTGTTCTCTCCTTTTTTGGGTGCTATTGCTGAATAGCCCGACTATATTAGGTTCTTTTTGTAATCGTAGTTTAAGGATCCGCCGGCTCGTAGGACTTTTATTTTCTTTTTGGATTGTAGCTCTTATGAGCAATAGAGAGCTGGTGGAGCCTTTTAAGGACAATGTAACCGATTTTTTGAATGAACACGTAGGCCCCATGAGAGGGTTTTAACCAAAAAAAAAAAAAAAAAATTGCACTACACTTAACAAAATTTTATAGGCCATATAAACATTCGCGTAAACAAATACACAACAATTCGATCATAAAATCCCAATTTTCTAGCGATTGTACGTGAGAAGTCCAACTTAATATAATTCTTAAAGGCTTAGCTCTTACCATCCGATCGATGCTTAATCACTGATTCTCATACCTTAAATTCAGAAAATTCAAACCTTGACCTAATCAATAAGACAAACTCGGCTTCAAGTTGGAAAAAAATAACCCAAAGCTTGACATCTCAAATCAACACAGCCAATCATATCCCTTACATAATTTTTATGTTGCATTGATTCCATATGGCTTTAATGAAAAGCCAGCCTAGAGTCATTAAAAAGGAGCAGGAAGATAAGAACACTTGCCATGAGAGAATGACAGAAGTTGGTGAGTTAGAGAAGACGGTAGTGGGTCTCATACATTAATATAATCCTGGAAGATGATGGCTTCCTTTTGAACAGAAGAGAGAGGTTTCACACAAGTTTCGGCTTCGATTCTCTTACTTAGCTTCACTTCCTTACAATAGAAAGTCCAACCTCGCGCGATCTTCTTCTTCTTCTGGAGAAAAAGGAAGAAAACTAATAAGCTTTAGCTAAAAGGTAATGAGTTCAATACCTTTCTTGATTTGAAGATTAGAAGTTCGCTATCCCTTGTGATCTGAAGATCAAGAGTTCGAATCACATGTGTGTGTGTGTGTGTGTTTTATACTTTTCTGTATTAATGGTGCTTATGAATTATGATTGGATTGTAATTATACTTTCTCTACATGTTATTATTTGATTAATCATTTTGTATTTGCTCTAATTATTTCATTAATCTTGCTTCACAGATCCATGGATTCGCAAGCAGCAGCTACACGTTGGCTTTCGGAGACAACAGTAAGGCTTTCATTTGATTTAACTTTTCCACTTAAACAAAATCTTTATATGAGAATATGATGAATTTGTTTGATATTTATAAAAGGGAATGCTGGATCCATGCTATCACCAATGGGAACTGAGCTCCCTGGACCATCTCTTATGGGATGATCTGCACCAAACACTCTCATCTGAGAGCTATTCCTTGAAACCTCCTGCTACAAGCATTACGTCCAACGCTCATAGCTGTGGTTCCTCCATAGACTCCTGCAGCCCCATGTCGGCCGTCGAAAGGCCGAAGAAGGTACCTAAAACGTCATCGATGAGCATACTCTCATTCGGCAACCCAGACGTGGGCATCAATAAGCCCACACTGTACAATAACCTGGTCATTGGAACTGTGAACACTGAGAATAGCTTGAAGAGAAACTATGAAGCCATGCCGGTTATTTCTCAGGGGGGCAAGAAGGTAGCTGGAGTCATGGTACCGAGGCCTTCTTCGCATAACCAAGATCATATTTTGGCAGAGAGGAAAAGGAGGGAGAAGTTGAGCCAGAGGTTCATAGCTCTTTCAGCCATTGTTCCTGGCCTCAAGAAGGTAATGACTTCTCCATTGTTATACAGATCTAGCATTATTTCAATATTTAAGAGGACTATACTTACTATAATATACATTAGAGAATTGAAAATTTAAAAATTCATATTAAGTCTTTATGCTGTTAAAATCTGACAGATGGACAAAGCATCAGTGCTAGGCGATGCGATCAAATACCTAAAGACACTGCAAGACAAAGTGAAAACTCTAGAGGAACAAACAGCCAAGAGAACAGTGGAGACTGCTGTTCTCGTGAAGAAGTCTCATATCGCGGCCGAAGAAGAGAACGAGGCTTCTTCCTCAGATGAGAACTTCGGCGGAGACCAATCTCAGCTACCTGAGATTGAAGTTAAGCTCTCAGACAAGACATTGCTCATCAAAATCCACTGCCAGAATAGAAAGGGAGCGTTGGTTTGTGCTCTTTCAGAGATCGAAAAGCTTCAGCTCACAGTGCTGAGCACTAGTTCTGTGCCTTTTGCAGCTTCGTCTCTTGATATCACGGTGACGGCTCAGGCAAGTTCTTTTTTGGTGGCATTTCGTCGAACAGCTTTGTTTTTAGAGGGATGCTCTTGTGAAGCCCATTTTTCTCACAGCTAATGACCTCTAATTTAAGTGCTATTTATTATTATCAAAAATATGGGCTATTTCACAGTATCCAATCAAACCTTTGACAATTTATATAAGTAATATTAATCTACCACAAATTTTTAAATTTCACCTTCCGTATCTTTTAATTATGATAAATTCTTAATAATTTTATTATAATATTTTTAATATATCAATTTGATAGTTAAAAAAATATGAATATTAATTTTAAAATTTTAATATATATATATATATATATATATATATATAAAAATTAAAAGATTTATTTTATATAACAAAATATTTTGTTAAAATTAGAAATCAATAAATATTTTTGATGATTTTAAGCATTGTTTTGTATTTTTTTATAATTTAAACCTCTTGTAATTTTTACAAAATGAATTGGCTTTTTTATTATTTTCGTATGAAACACCTTATACAATTGTTTTTTTCCATAATCTTAACAGTTCTTAATAAATAAATAAATAAATACATATCTGAACTGTTAAGATTTATTTATTTATTTATTTATTAATTTATTAATTTATGTTAAGATTTATTTATTTATTTATTTATATCAGTATTCAATCAAAGGTGATGAGGATTTCCTTAGAAAACTTTCAGAGAGGAACTCTTTATACTATTTCTGAAATAGCTTAAGTGGTTCTTACATTAACATATTTATGATATATTATGGCACAAAAAAAAAGTGATAGAAATATTTGAGATTTTGAATTATCGTGAAGGAATTAATTAGTTTTAAACAAATAGTTTCTCAGTTTTCAAATTCTTATTGGTCAACAGATCAAAGTTTGGATTTTTCTGAAAATTTCTAGTTACTTTTGAAATTGTTTGCAGATTGAGGAAGGGTTTTCCATGACAGTGAAGGATCTGGTGAGGAAGCTAGGTTCAGCTTCAGGGCAGTTCACTTAATGAAAGCAAAGCAGCTCAAACGCTAGTTATTCTGTACTGTTATGTGTTTTTCTCAGCTTTCTCATTAAATTTTCCATAGTCTTTTTATGATCATTAGTCCACAAGGTAGAAACTTGGGTCTAATGGTTGATTAGACTCTAGCTTTTAGTCTTTCGTAGGGTTTGTTGCTTTTGAAATGAGGCCATAAATGAATCTTCTCTGCATAGAGCTACGTGTATTTAATTATGTATTATTATACATAATATTCAGCATACAAAAACTCACAAAAATAAATAATAATACATCGTGAAATGCATGTAGCTCTATCATGGGTAGTAATTAATCTCTCCTTGAGGAGAAAAGGCCACCATTTACCTTGGTTTTGATTGTTCCCATCACCACTTTCTCTTTTATCCTTTGATCGATCTCCTTTATTCTTTTTTGCATGGTTATATAAGCTTTATGACCATGTTGTGAGGAGAGAAAAGCTTTGCCATTTTAACTATTTTGCAGGCCTAAATGTTGAAATTGGGTAAGTTGTTATCACCAAGACGCCATTTTTGAAAAATTATGGATTGAGCTAAGCACATACATAAAAAGGTATGCAAATCTATGTACTCATTTCCCTCTATGAGTTACATGAATAATAACCACTCAGATTTTTTTCTTTCCCAATAAATGACCATGCACTTGCCTCATTCCTTTGTCCTCTATAGCCCCTACTCTTTTTCTAAAGCTTGAAATCATGAGATGCATGAAAATGGTGGCTTTTTCTAATTTTGAGAGATTTTCATAGAGGCCTTATTAATTTCAGAAGTTTTAATCGTTGTTCCTTTTTTAGGGGTGTAATAAATTGGTTCCTTTGTAAACAGTTGAGTCTTTTTTTGAAAAAAAATTATTTTGTGCGGAGTCTGGATGGAAAGAATCGTCTGGATTGTGAGTGTACACATATTGTATACATAATGTACACAGTGTGTGTCGCATCTATGTACACACTATGTATAGTATGTGTACTCTCATATTTTCAGACGTACGATTCTTCCCGTCTGGACTCTGCACATAATAATTTCTCCTTTTTTTGCCACTTGTGTGTAAAAAAAATGTCAGAGGATCACTCTCCTTCTACTTGCTTTGATTTGTACAATAAATTTCCAAATAATGGTGTCATATTTGATGGAAAATTTTGCTTTTGGGGTATCTATTTGTAAATAATTTTTTCGGTCTTGGCCAGAGGTTTGATTTCGCATGCTTCCTGTATACTGAAGGGTATTTACCATTTTGTAACTTAAAAAAAATCCTGTGACAAGTTCCAAGCAAAGATAAAAAAAACAGACACAACTCTTTAATTAGGATTTAGGAGTCTCTTCATGATAATTACTTATTATCTAATATTAATGTAATGATGAAGCTTTCTGTTTAGCCTTTTTGGATTATGTGATCATGAAAATAGATATACACTTTATTATTATAATGATCGCCTGACAGCTCAAAACTACGTAATAGGCCAGGGACTGGGTTGGTTGATGAAGTTGAGAGATTATTAATGAATGTGACAGCTTGATGTAGACACCCTACTTAATTTTTTTTAATTATTCGTCTAATTGACAATAACAGATTATTTACTTAGAGTTCATGAGTTGGAAGCACAGAAATAAATGTCATTATTATACAAAAAATTAAAAAAAAAAAAAATCTTATTATAATATGTCCAGTATTATCTCAAGATAAAATATTGCTATCCTTCATCTTAGGCTTCTTTTCTTAATGTTTTCTAAAGCAGCTTTTTAGTACATAAATTTTTAGTTTAAAAATTATTTATATAAAAAATCACTTTAAAAAGCAATAAGAAAGTCGTCCTAAATGAAACCTTAACTTAGGCTTCGTTTGGGATGACTTTTGTTCTCCTTCTTGAAGCAACTTTCTAGTAAAAAAATTACAAATTTTCTACTAAAAAGCTGCTTCAAGAAGCAGAAAGAAAGTCATCCTTAGGCTTCGTTTGGGATGGCTTTCTTACTACTTTTTAAAATAATTTTTTAGTATAAATTTTTTATTTTTGTACTAGATAGCTGCTTTAAGAAGCAGTAAGAAAATTGTCCCAAACGAAATCTTAATAAAGTTTACATCACATACATATCAGAAGAGAAAAA